TTACCCAATTAAAATGAGGGTCTTGTTAATAAGGAAGAAGAAGAAAATGAGTATTGGATAGGCAACTCGTTGTCTCTGGCACCGATGATTTTACTAAATTTCATGATGGTATTCTAATTGCTTGTGGAAATTTATGATAGTATAGCTTAAGCATTGCCAGTTTTATTTTATTGCATATGTATTGAGAGCATAATGTGATTTAGAGGTAGCCCATATAACCACAACAGCTATCAATTATTGGGCATCTATCATGCGTTAGAACCTTGCTGGGCTTAAATTTCATAGCAAAAAAAAAAAAAAATTTCATCCTTAATTTTACAATGTGGGCACCATGTGCAGAGATAGTAATTTGTCATTGTCACAAAAACTAATACATGATGGAGTCAGGATTTGAACTTAGGTCTACTTAACTCAACTACACTTTTTCAAGTGAAGGCCTATTTTTAAAATCCACTGTGAATGGAACATTGATTGTAAAACTGATTTCAGTTTCATTCCTGACCATAGCCCTGATTTTTATGCTCAGTCTTATTAGCTTTAAGGAGGGGGGAAATACAACCTTTCTATACATGTTAATCAAATAGCATTCAGAATAGAAAAATCCTAAAATAAATAACACAATACCAAGATTTTTAATAATATTTCTTTTAGAAAATTCAGAAAGCACTGAAATATGTGAAAAAGCATTAAAAAGTATCCCTATTTCTCTCACCAGGAAGGTTTAACATTTTGGCATATTTCTCCCACTTTATTCTGTGATGTTTTATATAGTGGATGACATTTGTAAACAGTTTTGTGTTTTATTTTATTCCCTTCATATATCTAAGCATTTCCTTACGTTTTTAAACCCTCTTTATGAGCACAAATTTCAATGGCTTATGCAACATGAAACTTTTAACTTCAACCCAAAATTATCAAAAGATTCTAAAGGAAGAAGTAACTTCCTTTACTTTTAAACATATATATATATATATAATTTTTTTGCTTATTTTTATTGATGTTTAGGGAGAAAGGAAGGGAGAGGGAGAGAAACACTGATTGGCTGTCTCCTGCAGGGATCAAACTGCTGATGATCAAACAATTGAACCAAACTGGTCAGGGCAACTTCCTTTACTTTTAAAAGCAAATAAGAAAAACATATCCTAATCCCAGGCAAATAATCACTCTTTGCAAAATTTTCAGTATAAACTTGCTGTAAAATGTTAACTTCTCAAGGATATTTAAGCTATTTAAAATACTCTAGAGAGGAAAAAACTAGCTCTCAAGAAACTAGAATTTTAGGTTCTGAGTGTTGGGAGAGAGATAGAGATGGGAGATCATTGAGGCCAAGGTTCCGCTGAGTGATATCAAGAAAGCAAGTCACCGCCCTGGCTGGTGTTGCTCAGTGGTTAAAGTGTCAGGTTTGATTTCTAATCAAGGGCACATACCTGGGTTGCAGGTTCATTCCAGGCTCTAGTTGGGGGCCTGCAGGAGACAACCAATTGAGATGTCTCTCTTACATTGACGTTTCTCTCTCCCACACCCTCAACTCCCCCCCTCACCCCCACTTCCACTCTTTCACTCTATCTAAAAGCAATGGAAAAAATATCCTCAGGTGAAGATTTAAAAAAAAGAGCATGTCACCTACTATACCACAGATGGAGAAGTCCCAATGTATACTGTTAATTTTACAAAAGGAATTACATTTATTTTGTTTTGTTTTTAAAAATCTATATAATAAAAGCCTAAGCGACCATTATGGTGGAACGACCAAAACAACTGGTTGCTATGATGTGCATTGACCACCAGGGGGAAGATGCTCAACACAGGAGCTGTCCCCTGGTGGTTAGTGCACTCCCACAGGGGGAGAGCTGCTCAGCCAGAAGCTGGGCTCACAGCTGGCAAGTGCAGCGGTGGTGGCAGGAGCCTCTCCTGACTCCGCGGCAGCGCTAAGGAGCAGCGAGCCAAGTGGTAAGGAGTGAGGGGTCCCAGACTGTGAGAGGGCGCAGGCCAGGCTGAGGGACCTCCCCTCAGTGCATGAATTTCATGCACCGGGCCTCTAGTATATATATTTTATTGATTTCAGAGAGAAAGGAGGGAGAGGGAGAGTGATAAAAACATCAATAATGAGAGAGTCATTGATCCGCTGCCTCCTGCACACCCCCTACTGGGGATTGAGCCTGCAACCCAAGCATGTGCCCTTGACTGGAATTGAACCTGAGACCTTCTAGTCCACAGGCTGACACTCTATCCACTGAGCCAAACCAGCTAGGGCTACATTTGTTTTGAAGACTAATTTTTTTTCATGTGTTCATTTTCACATTTCAAAGTGAAACACTACAATGAAAAATGGTAAAATAAAAAATATTCTAACAGGTGTCTGCGTCTACTTTTTTTTGTGTGTGCTGTAGGTGAAGTTGGTGATTGGAAAAATCTGTTCAATGCAACTCAGAACCAGGAAATGGATGAAAAATTCCAAGAGTGCTTAGCAGGCACTGTCCTAGGAGCAAAGTTGAAGTGTGAATCATATTGCCAAGCTTGATTCTGGTCAGTTCATCCAGCCTGGGTGTTTTATTTTCTTTAATAATAACCGAATTTAAATAATTACATAATAAATTTATCCAATAATCAAGTAATTACAAATAACATGTAGAGATAAACAACACAAAGTTAACAATAATGATAACACCTGAAGCTTTTCAGCAAAAACTTAAGTTTATTCACTTTTTGAGAAAAGGCCAATTAGCTAAAAGAGGGATATTAAATAAATGTATTTAATATGCCTGGCTGGTGTGGCTTAGTAGATTGAGCATTGTCCCGTGGACCAAGAAGTTTGATTCCCGGTCAGGGCACATGCCTGGGTTGCGGGCTCGATCCTCTGATGTGCAGGAGACAGCCAATCAATGTGTCTCTCTCATTGATGTTTCTATCTCTCTCTCTCTCCTTCTCCCTTCCCCTCTGAAATCAATAAAAAAAATTTTTTTAAATGTATGTAACATGAAGATAAAATAAAGACCTTTTATATATTAAAAACTGGGAGAAATAGTCCCTAACATAAGTGCACTACAAGGAATATTCGACAAAGTGGTATAGGTAAAAGGAACACAGTACCAGTTGGAAATTTCAATCTACACAAGGAATAAAGAGCACCAGAAATGGTACATATGTGAGTATATATAAGAGCTATTTTCCTCATTTTAAAAGCTCTTTAAAAGATAATTATCTATTCAAAACAAAAGTAGTAAAAATGTACTTTGTAGTTCATAATATATGTAGAAGAAAATATATGACAGCAATGGCACAAAAGATGGGAGAGGAGGAACAGAAGTATAACCTTTTACATTTTGGAAAGCAATTTGGTAAATTATATGACCATATATCTTACAATCCAGCAATTATACACCTAGGCATAAATCCTGGAGAAACTCCCACATTTGCAAACAGATATACTGTAGAAGAAAAATCTTTATTGTAGTATGGTTTGCATATACGGAGAAATTTACAGACTAAACTGAGAGGCAAAAAAACAACCAAACAAAAAAACCAAAATCCAAATCAAAGAGGAGACATTAGAACTGATAACAAAGAAATACTAAGCATCATAAGAAATTAAGAACAATTATACAACAAATTAGAGAACCTAGGAGAAATGAAAAAATTCCTAGAAACATACAACCTACCAATACTGAATGATGAAGGAAAAGGAAATCTAAACAGACCAATTACTAGTAAAGACATTGAATCAGTAATCAAAAACTTCCCAACAACAGAAAGTCCAGGACCAGGTGGCTTTACTCATGAATTCTGCCAAACACTTAAGACATTTACATTAATCCTTCTCAAAATCTTTCCAAAGATAGAAGAGGAGAGAACTCTTCCAAACTAATTTTATGAGGCCAACATTACCCTGATACCAAAGCCAGACAGGACACTACAAGAAAAGAAAATGATCCCTGCTGAACATAGATGCAAAATCCTCAATGAAATATTAGCAAACCGAATTCAACAATACATTGAAAGGATCATGCACCACAATCAAGTGGGGTTCATTTAAGGAATGCAAGGATGGCTCAACATATGCAAATGAATAAGTGTGATAACACCATGGTAACAAAATGAAGGATAAAAACCATATGAGCCCTGGCTGGGGACCCAATTGTTTGGAGCGTTGTCCTGTACACCAGAAGATTGTGGGTTTGATCCCCAGCCGGGGCATGTATGGGAGGCAACTGATCAATGTCTGTCTCCCTCTTTCTCTCTCTCCTTTTAAAATAAATAAAAACATATCCTCAGGTGAAGATAAAAGAACCATATGATAATCTCAATAGATGTAAAAGAGCCTTTGACAAAATTCAACATTCATGATAAATCTCTAAACAAATAGTATGTATAGAGGAATGTACCTCAACATAATAAAAGACATATATGTCAAGCTCACAGCTAACATCATACTTAATAAAAGGGAAGAGGTTTTCCTCTAGCATCAGGAAAAAGACAAGGGTGCCTACTCTTGATGCTTTTACTCAACATAGTACTGGAAGTCCTAGCAAGAGCAATTAGGCAAGAAATAGAAATCAAAGGCATCCAAATCAGAAAGGAAGAAGTTTGCAGATAACATGATCTTATGTATAGAAAACCCTAAAGACTCCACCAAAAGCCTGGCTGGCTTAGCTCAATGGTTGAGTGTCACCCTATGAATCAGGAAGTCACAGTTCAATTCCCAGTCAGGGCACATGTCCAGGTTGTGGGCTTGGTCCCTAATGGGGGACGTGCTGGAGGCAGCCAGTCAATGATTCTCTCTCATCATTGATGTTTCTGTCTCTCTCTCCCTCTCCCTTCCTCTCTGAAATTAAAAAAAAAAAGTATATTTAAAAATTTTTCCTCAAAAGACTCCACCAAAAAAACGCCCCCCAAACTATTAGAACCCAGGATTCTTCAGTCCTCAGGCTGACGCTCTATCCACTGAGCCAAACCTGTCAGGACTTGCCTTATTTTCTTGATGACTTGATGGCATCATGTACCTGCAATATCCAGATGCAGTTTCAAGTTTCTGTTTGAGGAATGATATGTCCTCCAGGGGAAACAGAGCCGATGATGTCATAGGAGCAGGAAGCACTGATTTCGAAAATGTGTGGTAAGGCTTACATGTGGGAGACAACACTTTCAGTTTCCCTTCTACTGTTTCCTGGTTTCATGCAACTTGGTTTGGAGCATTTACTGCACTTGAAGGACAGTACACGCAGCTTGCTGAGTGTTGTCTCCTACCTGGGGCTGTAACTGAGTCTTCACTGCTCCAGCCCACTGTCCTATAAGGCCAGCTTTTGGGCAACGAGGTTCATAATAAAACCATTGAATTCTATGGTAGTCAGTGTACTGCCTCACTTCTTATTCTGTAGAATGGGTTCCTCAGTGAGAGATACCACGATGGTAAACAAGGTATTCAGAATGTCCAACAATGATGGTGCTGACAGAATCATCCATTCCTGCTGCACATCCTCTTCATTCATTCTGAACGAGCACTTGGCGGGAGCTGGCTGACTTCTACAGAAGTCTTCTTGCCCACCTGCTTCTCAAAAGCCTCCTCAGGAGTGGGCGCCTGTGGTGAACATTCACAAGGGAACACGGTATGTTTGAACCCTGTGCCCAGAGCTACCGGGAAAATGTAATTTATAGCCATTGATACCCTGTCATAAGGGGGGATGTAGAAGAGAAGTGGGAAAGGCCTCCTGGAGCCGATGCCCAATATTTAACGTGCACTTGAGGTCCATCTTGGGACCACTTCTCTCCTTTCCCCTGGCTGAGATGTCGATGGCAGGCTCCTGATTCTAATTCTAGCTCCCTTGCCTACCAGCTGTGGTGACATAACTTCTGTCTCAAACCTCAGTTTTCTCCTCTGTTAAATGGTGATAGGAATGGCACCTACCTTGCCCTATTGTTGTGGGCTAAGTCCTCAGCATTCTTCAATCCACGTGTCCATGGACAGTTCCAATTGGTTCCCAATGGCCCGGCCTCAGTATCCCTCTGGGAGTGTGTCATAATCCCTTAGGTGAGTAGGAGTTCTTATAAAGTGAGGATTAGCGGTAAGGGCTTTGGTGATGCACTCCATGAGGTCCCGCGGGGAGCGGGTGGCTCTCCTAACTGCTGAACTGGCTGGTGCTGGGCACAGCGGCTGGCATGAAGCACCTGTTGAACGAACGGATGGACGGGTGCAAACGTAAGATGATGCCCCCAGGCCTCGTCCTCCCGGCCTCCCCCGTAAACGGCCTTGTAACTGTGGAAAGGGAAGGGGTGCTTTGGTGTAGGGCCTGTTCTAGGATTGAGTGCGGCCTGGGCCACTTACCAGCCCCAAGACTCTGCGCGAGTCAATTCGCTGTTTCTTCTCCTGTAAATGGAGCCGATAACTTCCACCCCCACCCCGAGCCCACCCTGGAAGAGGAAAGGAGATGGTGTAAGCCTGGGCGCCCGGAGACTGCGGCGAGCTGCCCACGTCCCGCGGATTCTGACCTCCACGGGGTCCTGGACTCGCCCAGGGGCCCGGGTGCAGCGGCCGGGGCCGGACACGCCCAGGCGCAAAAGTGGCGGCTGAGCGCCGGCCGCTCCGCGGGGCCTTCCGCGCGGGCTCGCGTCCCAGGCGCGTTTCCCGCGGTCCCGGAGCCGCAGATGACCTGTGCGGGAGCGGGCGGGCGGGCGGGAGGCGGAGTCCGCGGGGAAAACGAAACTGAGAGGAAGCAGCCCAGACCCCGGCGGGGTTCGCGGACAGCAGCGGCGCCTGGTGAGCGGGGCGGTCGGCCCGGGGCGGGGGGCGCCCACGAGCGGCGAAGGGTCCGGAGCGCGGGCGGCAGATGCGGGGGCGCCCAGGTGTGGCGAGCGGCCCGGAGCGCTGGGGGCAGATGCGGGGG